ATCCTCAGTCCTGTACTTTTTGTCCAGAGATTCCCATAACTTCTTTGCTGAGCTCTTGGCACAAAACACATTGTGGAGTGAGTCTGCCAAGCTGTTGAACACATAGTTCTGGCAAAGATAGTCTGTCTACTTCCATGTGTCAAGTGCCACGACTTTCTGCCTATCTGGCTCATTCTCTGTCACGGCTAGAGGATCTTCACTCAAAACCTTTGCAAGGTTCAGCGTGGTCAAGTAGAACAACATTTTTTGCTGTCATCTCTTGAAGTTCACCCCCAGCAAATTTCTATGGGCGCTCATAGTGATTGAGCGGTCCTCCTAGAATCGCCAGAGTAACGCCAAGGTTGACCACAGAGGTCATAGTTGGGGTTGCCAAGTCAGTTGCCTTGGGATTTAGATCCCCACTAACATTAGCAGTAGCAGCATCATTGGTGACAATTGCCATTTCTGAAAAATACAACAGAACATCAATTTTTGTGTTTCCAGAAATTAAACTTAACCCTTAGAAAATCCTACAATTGAAAATTTAATTCAAAACTAGTCTCACCACTTAACCTAGAATCGAACATGGTCAAGAATGTTCCCAGGAAGACTGGAGGGGTCACATCGATCCCACTTAAAACCCAGTTAACCTTTTGAAAAAACTTTCAAGAGCATGTTGACTCCTAGTTTGTGAGAAACAATTTTTAGAATTAAATTTTCTAGGGATGAATTAGGTTAAAACAAACCAGTTCCAAATTTACAAGCAATTAAAATAAAATTGCTAACAATTGCAAGCAATATAAAAATTGCTACAACAATACAAGAATATAAAATGCTTTAATATGCCAAGCAAACAACCTTGCTTTAAAATTGGCAAGTAACCACTACTAAATCTCAAGCAAAAAATGCTTAAATTACATAATCCATAAATTTCGTTTGTGCAACCCAATCTATTCATTTGGTTTTGTTTTTTTTTTTTTTTTTTTTCCCATTCCCTTTCGCATAGGTATTTCTGTAAAACAAGGTTAGCAGAAAATCACAACAAAATACAAACAAATAATCTAAGCAAAAAGTAAATATAAGAAATAATTGAAACCATCTAGCCAATAAAATTAACCAATGAATTAAAATGCTAGATAAGTTACCAAAACAAAATACAACTTATAACTTCACAATTAAATTAAAACTTTAAAATAATATTTTTAACTCCAAAATTAAATTATAACTTTAAAAAAAAAATTTGTAACTCCAAAATTAAATTACAACTTTAATAGGCTAGAGTTTAAACCACAATAAACATGTAATAAACTTGTAAATTATTCTAGCAATTAACATGCAAATAAGTCTATAGTAATTAAAATGTAAATAATTCTAGAATAAGAAGCATGTAAAATTGATTTAAATCTAGAAAATAAAACTATGTGAATTAATCTAGTATGTAACCATATTGAACATGATGTTTATACTAGAAACTAATGAGCATGTCAACTAAAATTTAAACACTTATGAACATGCAGATTATATTATAAAATTATAAAATAAAAAGACATGCAAAGCATGGTGGTAAATTATAGAACCATGCTCATAAAATAAAATTATACTAGACACGAAATAAGCATACAAATTATGCAAGAGAGAAAAATAATTCTGATTAAATTCAACCATTCCAGTACAATTATGAATTCAATAAACCCACCATGTCATATATGAATTTATTAAATTACACATGAGTTTAAAGACCAGGAGATCATATATACAACAATAACTAGTAGTATGTAATTCTTCTTCTTCTTCTTCTTCTTCTTCTTCTTCTTCTTCTTCTTCTTCTTCTTCTTCTTCTTCTTCTTCTTCTTCTTCTTCTTCTTCTTCTTCTTCTTCTTCTTCTTCTTCTTCTTCTTCTTCTTCTTCTTCTTCTTCTTCTTCTTCTTCTTCTTCTTCTTCTTCTTCTTCTTCTTCTTCTTCTTCTTCTTCTTCTTCTTCTTCTTCTTCTTCTTCTTCTTCTTCTTCTTCTTCTTCTTCTTCTTCTTCTTCTTCTTCTTCTTCTTCTTCTTCTTCTTCTTCTTCTTCTTCTTCTTCTTCTTCTTCTTCTTCTTCTTCTTCTTCTTCTTCTTCTTCTTCTTCTTCTTCTTCTTCTTCTTCTTCTTCTTCTTCTTCTTCTTCTTCTTCTTCTTCTTCTTCTTCTTCTTCTTCTTCTTCTTCTTCTTCTTCTTCTTCTTCTTCTTCTTCTTCTTCTTCTTCTTCTTCTTCTTCTTCTTCTTCTTCTTCTTCTTCTTCTTCTTCTTCTTCTTCTTCTTCTTCTTCTTCTTCTTCTTCTTCTTCTTCTTCTTCTTCTTCTTCTTCTTCTTCTTCTTCTTCTTCTTCTTCTTCTTCTTCTTCTTCTTCTTCTTCTTCTTCTTCTTCTTCTTCTTCTTCTTCTTCTTCTTCTTCTTCTTCTTCTTCTTCTTCTTCTTCTTCTTCTTCTTCTTCTTCTTCTTCTTCTTCTTCTTCTTCTTCTTCTTCTTCTTCTTCTTCTTCTTCTTCTTCTTCTTCTTCTTCTTCTTCTTCTTCTTCTTCTTCTTCTTCTTCTTCTTCTTCTTCTTCTTCTTCTTCTTCTTCTTCTTCTTCTTCTTCTTCTTCTTCTTCTTCTTCTTCTTCTTCTTCTTTTTTATAAAAAAAATATACATATTGTAGGCATGCCTCGAAAAAAGGGTGAAGGAAAATGAATTCAAATGCAAATAGTGGACAAACCTTGTACATCTTCTAATACACTGACACCAAAACAAAACTCTAGCCAAGGTTTTTTTTTTTCCTTTTTATTCTAACACAGAGAAACATGTGGTTTATAAAAATAGACCAAAACAAAACTAATCATGAAAACAGTGGGCTTATCTATTTTCTACAAACCAACAGAAAGCCTATTTCTATAGTCAACAGCATACACAATTCTATTCGTTTTATTTCATGCAAAAAATATATTAATTTGTTTTAAGCTTGTTGTACAAATTGTATGATAACATAAAAGAAATAGATTCATATTGAATAAACAAATAGAATTTAAGAACAAGAACATGCTTTAATTTACAGAAATTCATAATAAAATAAACTAGCAAAATGAAGCAAACCGAAGCATGCACTAGACAGTGTCCTTAAAACAAATTCGTCGCCTCATCGGTTGGGTGCTGGAGGTTGTTCGATGTCTGTCTCCCAGGATACGACGGTTGAACCAGCTACGCAATGCACCGACTAAATAGCTTCGGCGAAAAGAATTTTGCAGCACTCTCTCACAAGAAGAAAAACACAAAACTGGAAAACTTTTGAAAGACTAGAATAACAACAATTTATGGTATAGAATGCTAAAGGAACATGGAGGGAGAGAGGAAGAGACTCCCCTTCAACAAATGCAAGAATTAATTCTGCATTAACCAGAATTAATTTGGCAAAACTAATGGGTTTAATTCCATCATCAATAGAAAAAACTAGGGTTTGCCTGCAGCCTACACATCTAACTTGGCTGAAAAAGATTAAGATGAATGGTCCAAGCCCAACCACCACACTCAATCCATTCCAGCAAGCCCAAGCCCAAGACCAAGACCTAAGATCCCCAGACCTCGACCCCGACCCCGACCTCGACCCGATCTGGTCCGGTCCAGTCCAGTCTGGGCATGCGCACGTGTGGCAATTTTTGCATAACTGTAATGCCCAAAATTTCTAGCCCAAACGATAATACAACAATCATGGCTTTTTCAAGGAAACCGAATATAAATCTCCAAACTTACATTACATGATACAATAGTTCTTCATGCAACAACACATTAATCCAACAACAAGTAAATAAACAAATAAATATCCCCAAGGGTTTATATGTTTCCAAAGCTTGAGCCTGGTTACACAAAGTGGTTATTCAAACCCACACCTATGCAGCCTTTAGCTTACACACAGAGTCACAGCAAAATGAGAGTCTCGTACTCTTAACACACATTTCCTCACATTTAGTTAGGCGGCATCACCACATCTTTTCCTACACAAAAATCCTATAGGGTGAGCATAAAGCCCAGTAGGAAATTCTTAACAAAGTATATATATTTTATATAAGTCTCAAGAGATGAAATGCACATGTCATGCTATGTCCTTTTGAAAGAAAATCACATCTTCATCTTTGACAACCATCATGCTCAATGATGTCATGCAATTTCAATTCTTCAAAACTTAACAATTCATTTCAAGAGCGGTAAATACAACTCTGGTAATCCCTAGGTCAGTGTCTGCAAGTAGACTATACAAGTACTACCAATTTGTCATTTTTACCAGCATTGACTGGAAGGCTCGACACCTATAAGCTCTCATTTTTACCAGTATTAACCGGAAGGCTCGGCACCTATTCAATTTCATGTACACCACTTGTCAAGACTTACCACCGTATTTATCCCAAAATCAATTCATGGAAACTTGTTTCTCAACATTCTTTTCTCAATGCAAGTTTCCAAATCAACTTTCAAAGTTTAATGTAATCAAATGAATTGATATGCCAATAACACAAGATGAATATAAATACTTTTATTCCAATTCATCATCCAAGAAATAACACAATTCTTTCTTCTCAAGTATCCTCAACAATTAGTCATTTCAAGACTATTTCAACGTTTTGAACAATAATTCCCAAAATAAACAACAATTCACATATTTCCTAAAATTCATCATTTATATAAATATAAATAAGAAATTTTCCAAATATCCATTTATTTTGACACACAAAATAAACATAACAATATCATTTATGGATTTCCAACCTCTTTTAAAAATCTCAAATTTCTAGGTTTTCTCACCAAAATTGTACAATTCAAATCTTTTGAAAGAAAACTTTCTAAATTCATCTTTTCTTCAATCAACGAAGATCAAAACCCATAAGATCATTTTAAAAGAATAAGAGACAAACCCACTTTCAAAATCGCTCAACTTCTTGAATTAACAATCAATTTTCAAAGCTATCGAATGATGATTTTGAAAATCATCTAGATCTTGCAAAAATAAGAAGAAATGAGATGAAACCCCCAAAATCAACGGTATCGAAACTCGATCTTCACCGCACAAAACGAAGCCCTTGGGATGATAACCAACTTTGGTGAAGAACTTAGGTCCAAATCCCAAAGGATTTTAAGAAATCAAAGATCTTGTGAGGTTTTTGGTAGGAAATGTAGAGAGAAGGGAGAGGAAATGTTTTTAGAGAGAGATACACAAAAGTGATCTGAAATAGCAGAGAGCTCAATGTAATAATGTGTATGTCTTGATTGCTTACATGACAAATTAAGGGTCCCACTTGTGTTTAATAGTGTTCCATCTTCTATTTTCAGATCTGAATGAAATGAGAGCCAGACCCAATTCCTGGGTTTTGCACTGAGTTTCAAGATTTGAAAACCTTATAAAAGATTTCTGGGTCAGTTGTATTTTTTTCATTTGATTTGGTCTGAAACAGACAGAGATCAGATAAA